ATGAATCGGCATATTGTTACATGTAGATGTAAAACATTTCCTCATTTATACTTTAAAGATGAGTACAGTTTGAATAGTTAGAAACAGCCAAAGAATAGATTTTTGTTTGAATGCCATGGATCGTTTGCTGTGCCGTCGTCTGCGAGACGAACCAGAGGAAGAACGCGTACAACTTCATGAGACGACGACGGAAGAGGTACCTTAGATAGATTGACATTTGAATAGAAGTTGATTTATCTAGATCTTCATGTATTTGACTGGTTTGCATTCAGCATGGAGAAACCATAGTTCTATAGTATGCTATGATGAAACACGCGCTTGTGTAAACGTATTTTGGAAACCTGTCAATTAAGCTTATTCTTATTCATAGTCTTCATGCAACAAGGCTAAAATTTTCAATTGTACTATGGTGGTTTTGGGCTATTATCCAAGCAATGCATTCCTATTTGTTCCTATTTTTAAATGCTGTAACGACTATGACATCACAAGTAACAGTGATTTTTATGTTTTCACTTTCATTTTGAGCCTACAACGTTTACAAAAATAATCGTATTATTAACTTAAATTCAATAAGGAAGAGAAAGCTAATAAAGCCAAAAAGGAAAAAGAAGACAAGTTATTCAAGGCATTCCAAGAAAACAATATTGATGAAATAGCGACACTCATTCAGAATTGTGACCTGAATGTGAAGGAAGTAACAGAAGGAGTAAGTGTCTTCCTGCATTGTACTTAACCTGTCTGTCGTGGGGGTATACATGGTTGCACCGGAAACTTCCCTAAAATGCATATGATATTATATATGGTTTTTAATCCTTTAGAGTTTATTTACTTAATCCACAAAACAAATATTACTAATAACTACACTATATAAATAGTGTTGATTAAACAATAGAAAACAAAGGAGTTAGCATAATTTATTGATTTCAATAATGTTGCATTATATAGGAATCTCATTTTATACCTTTTATTTTTAGCGATCCAAAAAAAATCTACTGCATTCATTAGCAGAAACCACATGCAAAAATCCTCAGGAAGAGGAAAAAGTTGGCCAAATATTCAGATGTTTAGTTGAGAATGGGTGTTCTGTAAATGCTAAAGATAAGGTGTGAATGATTTCAATGTTTAAAGTAATCTGTAATTCATTATAATGATTTATTTATATATAAATTGAAGAAAAAGCCACTCAACTTGTAACTTGGTTTCCACTTTTTATTGAATGTTTCTGGCACTCGCCTTTCTTCAGCAAACTGAATGCTTGCACACGCCACTGCTACCAAAACAAAATTCTAAAAAAGAAAACCCACTAACGGAAAACAACAAAGGAGGGGGACATTGGGGTTTGCGGGATTGCGGGATTGACCGTTTTTTCATTCGATATTGCGGTAATTTGGCAAAATAAAAATGCGATAATGCGGGATTTGTATTTTGTGCGATATGCGGTATTTGAAGTTTTAAGATGCGGTATTGCGGGAAAAATCGCTTAAAATGTCAGTATTGCGAGAAAAATGCTTGCAGATCTAATTTTTCTAATTGATTTTTTCATGCGGTAATACGGGATTTTTGAATTTTTTTTGCGGTATTGCGGTATTCACAAAGCGCTCTTCGATTTATTCAATTTTATATTCAAAGTAAGACACCTTGAAATCCTTTGATCCTTGTAGCTAGATGTCTGTGGTAGTTGGCCAAGACAATTAGTTTTACATTTTCCTGGATTATCTTTAAATGATTTATTTATTATATGTATATATATTCTTAGTGTATTGTTTGAAAAAGTAACTTTTTTGCTGGTTTCTTGTTTTAGTATGGAAATACTCCCCTTAAGCTTGCTGCAGAAAAAGGGAATATACCCATTCTCAAGCTGCTATTGGAAAAAGGAGCTGATGTCAACAAAAAAGACGATGTAATTATTAAAATTTGATTGTAAATCTGGACTGCCAAAACCTTGTATTGAAATACATGGTACAAACATCTAGTCTTATTTAGTTGTCAGGTGATACTCCTTTACACTGGGCAGCCAAAAATGACAAGGTTAAAGCAGTACACACGCTTTTAACAAGTGGCTTTGAAGATGTAGATGTCAATATTCAGAATGATGTATGTAGTTTAAGATTGTTTTACTTTGGAACTTAATCAAGTCTATGATAATGATCATTCTGTTAAATTATTATTAATTGGTTGAATAAAATTGTGCAATTTGATTGGCTTAGAGGAGTGGCATTTATCCTGTATAGTGGTATTTCAAACTGCACAATTTTATTCAACCATTTTATAAACAAATAAAAAATATTTTTGTAGTGGAATTTGGGATAAATACCACTTGTGATATTTCAAAATTGTCACAAATTTTGCTCACTTCGCTGCGTGGTAAACCATGCTATTGCCTATACTAACATCTTAAATATTATATTTTCAGTCACTTAAAACACCACTCCATCTTGCTGTAGAAAATAAAAGTAAAAATGTAGTTCTACTCTTGCTTTACTATAAAGCAAATCCAAAGCAAAAGAACAAAGTAAGTATATCTAAAGTTATCATAAACTGATAAAAAGAAACTGTTGACATATGCATTTTAACATTTCCAATGGATGTACTTTGACTTCTGCAGTTGTTTAAATTTCTCATGAGAATCCAACAATGATCATGTATATTTGTGTTTGAGTCAATTTCGTATGAGTGGGAAACATACTGTATAAATTACTGCACATTACCGAACAGTTACCGGACCTGGCCTGCACAATTTTTATGAAGCAATGAGACACTAGAATTTGGTTACGCTACGATTACGGTGTTACAGTACAGTACCGTCTGTTTCCTACTCATACGAAATTGACTCTAACTCCTTTCAGTGTTTATAGCAAGAAAATCATATCTTTTGTAGGATGGTGAACCTCCTCTGCGATATGCTGAAACAAATAATCTGTCAGATATTGAAAAACTTCTAAAGGAACCTAGTGAAACATATTCTGTAAGTTAAATCCAAAGTCATTGGGGAGGGGGGGGGGAGGAGTTTGAAAGGCTGCCTCCAAACTGCAAAATACACTACAGTGCAACATACCACAATTCACAACATACCAAATTCACTTGACCTTCAACAGCAAACAAACTGTTTGGGTTTTGAAGCTCTGAGTTTTAATCCTGGAGCAAAAATACAAAATTACAAATCATAATGACATTTGACATGAAATCCTCATATTTGCATAAATTGTGCACAGCACAAATCTGCATTTTTACAATACTGGATTAAAGCACAATGCTTTATATTCATTTGGAATATTTTGTGATACTTTTCAGGAAGAGGCATCACTGATAAAATATGCAAAAGAAAATGACTATTTAGAAGTTGTTAAACTATTTGAACAGCCTCTAGAAGTGGAATGTGTAAGTTTGTACTACTAACAACACATTTGTTGATCAAAATCAGTTAGTGGTTTATTATTTTTATCCTACATCTGCATCCAACTTGCTTACTAATAAATACAATCCTACAGGCTTCCTTCTCCAGTAACTTAAAAACAATGATCTAAAATTCCCTCCCCCCCCCCATATTTTTAACCCATACCAACCCATACCCCACCCAAGTAAATAATAACTGGTACCTATTATGAAGTCTTTACTTTAATAAGACACATTTCATTTGTATTTACATCCATTACTCAATCTATCTGTTGGTCAGTAAAAAATATCTCTTGCCTGCATGCTGTCAATTTTATAATTGTCACCAGAGAGAGAGTTGGTCTGACAAAAGATGTTATTTTTGTAATAATAGTAATTCCATATAATTATTCATTTAGGATGGTCCAGGTGATCCTGTTGCATCTCCTCGTGACAGTGAAACTGCTGCTAATAGTACGTATGAATGAAGCTGTCAGTCTAATATAATGATTATTAGTTAATACTTCCTTGTTTAATTCCTTGTTCCTAATTCTCTTGTTTTCAGTCATCTATAATACTACCTATAATATTACAATGAGAGACCATGCTCAAGCAGCGATAGGTGATGGTGCCAAATTAATGTATGTACATTTAAATTACAGCCATATTGTGATTTAATGCTTTACAGTTTCTGTAACTTATGAGCTTCATCATATGACATAACAGCCTGGGTACATCCATTTCTTACCTCATGAATTAGGGAATCTCCCCGATTTTTTTTGGAGGGTTGAGAAACGGATGTACATAGGCTAATGACATAACTTTCTGAAGGTTAACACATTTGTTTGACTTTGATTCCTTTATTCCCGCTGCAATGTATACAAAGAGCAGATCTAAGGGAATGTGATGCACTGGTGGATCCAGAAGTTGGGATCCAGGGTTAGGGTTTCTTTCCTTTTTTTTAAAAAAAGCACATTTTTCAACCTCAACTTACTGGTAATAAAAAAAATAAATAAATAAATAAATAGAAAAGAACAGTGGGCTTATACGAGGCCTATCATACAGAGCTTGATCTTTCTGTGGATTTTCATCTGTTATGGCAAGCAACCCTAAGCCAACATCTGAACACCGATATCAATAACCTCTTTTTAGGTCTGTTTCCTATAAAGTTCAATAATTTGCTTATTCATAGCCTTTAGTCAATGTTTTATTTTATTCTTTTTTTTAGAAATGAACCTGCTCAAGAAGAAGAAAGTCCTTCAAGAGAAGGAGAAGGAAGTCCATCTGCTCCACCAGAACCTACAAACACAAATATTCCTTCTTCTTCATATCCATCTCCAACAGCTCCCCCAGAAGACCTTTTAGAGCAGAGATGATACTTGGAGAAAGTGGTGTATGTGAAATGTGAGGAAATGACAGATGGGATTAGAGTGACATCAAAAAACCCGTGAAATATTGCACCAATGGCTTAATTATATAAAGCGGTTTCAACGGACTGGTTTCTTTTCTTCTCTTTTTCATAGGCTACCAAAACAAAGGAAATCTACAGCCCGGTTAACTGAAAAGACCACTTTATTATATATAATCAGGCCCCAATGCACCTTAGTATGCTCTAATTGCATTGTTTTCTTTTATGACTATTACTATTTATGACTTACGGAGTAAGTAGTAAGTACCTTTACCAGATTCAATATTTAAGCAATAAAAATGGATTTCCATACGTTTATCGAACTTTTTTTAATAGTGAAATGTTGATTCACGGGTTTATTGACTTCACTCTACAACATTTTTCACTAATGGCATCATTTGTATTTTAGTAATTTATTTTAAATCAACATCACAAAGTTTATTTGGTATATGCAGTACGTATTTGCACACGTCATAGTTTTCACAAAATAAAAAAGGGACACCACGTTAAATATATTTAAATTTTGTAAATATTTAATATCGCTTAATAGTATAGCTAGTACATGAGACAGTGGTTCCCAATAGAACATAAAATGAATGAGATTCATTAAAATAAATATTTTGGGTGATAAGTATTTTACACAATGTAGTATTTTTATGTTTGTAAGTATTTGACGTATTACATTTTTTTAAAAAATAAGCTAACAGAAATTGTAAACATGTCGATCCTGTACCGACGCTGTAAAATGTTTCATTTATATGAGTAATTCACAGATAAACTATATTTATTGGTTTCAAATACAGTTTGATTACTTTTGATGTAGTATTGCCATTATAATAAGTAGAGCTTATTCTGAAACTACCTCATATTCGTCTATCAATTCGTCCTCTTCTTCCTTATAGTCGCAGTGTACGGGCGGTTTACCATCCAGAAAATGCCAGGAATTCATCTCTCGGGATATTTCCCTGTGTCGATCGAGAAAAGTCATTTTCGTTGCCCAGTAATCTACAAGATATGGGGTGTGCTCCATGTTAAACTTATTTTCATCCCTATGGTGGTCTAGTCCACAATCTTTGATTTCACAACAACGTCGTTGCTGTGCGCAATTTGGTCGATTTTTTTTCGGTTGCCAGTTCTCCCAGAGAAGATTTTCGTCGCGTTGTGGTGGAACTTCAGAAACTCTTCCAACAAACGTCGAAGGACGAGTGACTCGTATTTGAGGAACAATAAGTTCGAC